ATTCTTTCCGATCAAGTACTTTAACATCACCCTCTTGATTCAAATGACATAACTGGAGACTTAAGACATCACCTACTTCCTATAACACACAACACCATATTCACATAGTTGTTCATACATGTATACATTATCACAGCAAAATCAATTCTATAAATTTACCAATTGTCTCAAGCAAATCATTTGCCCATATTAAGTATAGCTTTTTGTAAGCCATCTAATACTTGTGGCTTGTGTTTCAATTACATAACGTTAGTCCAAATATGTCAGCTATTATTTGAACACTCAGGAAAAACAGAATCCCATTATCAAGGTCACATCTATATTGCGCTGGTCATGCTAACTCTGGATCAATAAACAATTAAAACATACTGCATTGTTAGACTCTTCATGCCAAGGGGGATACACTCTTTAATTAATTTCCCCGTAGGCACACGTACTAGCCTTGAATTAAACCAAACTTACATGTAGACTACTTATTCGCAATTATAGTATATCAATACATATCAACATCGGCCAAAATACACCTCGGGCAATGAATGAGGCTATAAACCTAAGGCACAAACAACTATGCGTAAATATTGAGACGAATCCAGATACAATTAGCAATGGGTTAAATATTGTTTAATTCTAAGAAAACGAATTCTGAAATGATATGAAAAGATACGATAGATATGAAAATGTACATTTCAGATCAACGCAAACGACGCCATTAAACCGAATTCTCATAGCACTCGTTCGTTCGCCTTACAGCGTCAACAAGTTCGCGGCGTCTGTGTGAGGTGATGTGCGTACAAAGTTGTTCGACAACCGTTTTAGTTATTCCAGAGAATAGATTATGATAGTGTAAAACCTGTTTATATATGGGAAAAACACAAATGTCTCAACATAAACAGAATTAAGATATATGAATTTTCGTTTATGCTCAGTGTATCTAAAATTCCACCGCGTTTGTTACGTGTATGTTCTCTTTTACTATGTGCGCTTCCAAAACGCTTCGTTGCAGTTTTGAGTTACGGCATTTGAGGGATTAGTTATATCCATAAAACAGAAGTTATAATGGTTTAATATAAAAGCAATAAAACATTGGTCGGCTAGGTATACCGCGAGAGTTTCCTTTTACTGTTATGTCTGTGTCGGACTTCAATACACAATCCCGTAGTTTTTCCATACACTGGCAATGATTTGGTGCTTAACTAACTAACTTTTTAGTTCGTAGAATAACACCCAGTTCAGTTTAAGTATTATATTGATATGTTTAAAACAAAATCGCAGATTGAATTCCCGAAATATATACTGATTACATGCAAGTCAGTATAACGAATTTCCCCCATTAACATTCGATTATTTTCTGGCGGTTCACAGCCAGAAACATAGGACATGTTTTGTTTTTTATTATTTCCACGTCCACGCTGCTATTATAGATGCAATAATGCTCTGCGTATATATTCAATTTTCCAGGTTGATGATACAGACGACAAAAGAAGTTGGAAAGCAGGGTTAATTAAAAAAGATGATACGGAGTTAGATAAAAAGTGGAAAGCAGGACTTTTTAAGAAAGACGAAGAAGACGCAGCGGACGATGAAAAACGCTGGAAAGCGGGACTTTTTAAAAAAGACGATGAGAAAAGGTGGAAAGCTGGTTTGTTTAAAAAAGATGTCTACGACGATGAGGAGGAAAAGCGCTGGAAGGCAGGCCTTTTCAAGAAGGATGACAGTAAACGTTGGAAAGCGGGTTTGTTTAAGAAAGACGCTGAACTAGACGCAGAAAAACGCTGGAAGGCAGGCCTCTTCAAAAAAGACGAAGACGACGCCGAAGAATCGAAGCGCTGGAAGGCGGGTTTGTTTAAGAAGGACGCAGAGGATGAGAAACGATGGAAGGCCGGCTTATTCAAAAAAGACGCAGAACAAGACAAAAGATGGAAGGCAGGACTTTTCAAGAAAGATGACGATCTTGATGAAAAGAAATCGTGGAAAGGAGGCATTTACAAAAGGGACGCTAAACGATGGAAAACTGGAATTCTTATTAAGAGGAATTCACCGGAAACGGAATATGACGTTGATAATAAAATCTTGGAAGAAATTGAAAAAGACTACGAAGTAAGTGTACACAACTTGCCAATACATTGCATCTATTTTTAATCGTTCCGGGCTTTTGGGCGTTGAGTCCTACATGAACAATAAAAAATACGGAGACCACTAATAACAATTTGCTAAATGATTAAGTTCATGAAATAAAACATTCACACCGATGAAAACTTAAAATATAATTAGATTTGTTTTTCAGCGAGGTGAACTGCCTTAATGAATATCTCAATATGTTTACTAGTGATAAGAATCGTTTTATTAGTCTTAAACCAAGCTATTAATATATTATGTGATAATGCCTATTTTGACAAGGTTAGGTTTGGTTAGTTTTGGTTTTACACTGCTTAATTAAACGGTCCTGACCTTACAAATTTAAACATTTGATGTCTAAAATCTTGTACAAGTACGTGAAATTGTTAACTGCACATACAAGCGAGCTTCGTGGACGAAAATCTTTTAAATCGATACAGTTTGAAGTGTCCCTTAATAGAAATGACACTACACTAATCCGGTGTTATTGCGATGCTGTTTGGTCGTGTCAAGTACTATACCTGATATCGGGTATTATGAATCGTTGAGATATAATACAACATTCGTATAAGTTGAGTCAACGCATTAATCACAGGCACAGCACCCAAGAGATTGAAAATGACTTTGTTAATAATTTCAGCTCGTTTCGTGTTTAGCCCCGAGGTAGGAAAATTGTAATCGGCAATCAAAAACAATAAATTGTATTGAACAAAAAAACTATCAACAAGTTCAGCGTAATGACTGAACAGAGTTTTCTTAAGTAACATACAATGTTTCAATTATTAAAAATTATCTTGAAATTGCGCCCCGGTGTATAATTCAACTGAAAGCAATCTAGCAAAAATCCATGTACAATCACATGGGGCTGGCATTAAATGCTATCAATCAGATTCAATGAAACTTTAGATTTGACCATTTAGGTTATACAATAGCGAAAGTTGATATTGTGCTCCAAAATTGAATAATATTAAACTATAACGCTATTGCACGTTTTGCTTTACGAAAAGAATACATTACAATAAACGATTTTGTTGATTAAAAGTAGCTACTTTGATTCCAGCCATGTGGCATACGGTGTGCTCAAAAATACATACAATTATTCCCTAATTAACAATTGCTAGAAATATACATCGTACTGTTCCACTCTCATGAGACGGGATACTGTCGCACATCGTCCTATTCGTTAAGCGCACCCCACGACACTTGTACCGCGCGTGGAATAAGTTGTTTGTATTTGCTTAAAAAAATTGAAACGCGCTCTGCACGACGACTGTTGCGTTTCAGTTTGTTAACAATAGTAGCATGAATGCAGCCAATGCGTACTTAAAGAGATCAGTGTTTTCTATGAATGATGTTCGCGATGGCTCAACGCATTGAGGCATGGCTGACTGTATTCTATAAATTCTAAATCGAAAAGCGTACGACAGTCAACGATTTTGAAGGAATTTGTTCAGCCTTCATCACTTACATATTTTGTACATCTGGATTGTACATTATACCGCCAAAAGCAGCTGACTAACATTTTGTATCAGTTCGCGCATAATGATAAGCTCATTTACATATAAATATAACATTCGTTGACCATTGTAAATCAATTAAACAATGGATGTCGTTATATTGGACTGACTACGTTAATATTCTGTGTCGTTACTACACCCTCATGGGAGATGAACTCAGAGATAAACCGGAACGAGTTCAGTTTATAAGAAAATAAAATCACCCCAAATATATTTGAATTCTGGTAAAACAGCTCATACCACAATTTTATAACGCGAACCTGCCAAATATTACGCGACAAAACGTGTTCGTGCTCATATAGTGGGAATGTCTACTCATTCACAAAAGTAAAACATTGCTGTCAAAAGCAACATCGCAGCCATATCCATCTCGGTCTGTGACGATGGCGTGTGATTACATCTAATTCTCCAATAACCTTTAGTGAAAAATTACTAAACGCTTTAGTACACATGTTTAACTTCAGAAAACAACGAATATTTACAGAAAGCAGTCATTACAGTTATGAACTGTCAATTGTTTGCACAATGTCCAATGCTACATTTTGAATTTGTGTATTTCGACATTTTGTCAACAATTTTGCTCCGATTTCTTGCCATACAGTCACCCGCTTTGGTCTCTCAGGAGATGGCTCTTGGAGATAATTGAATCAAAGTCATGTATGACATTCTACGTGGCGTTGCTGTCACCCAACTCCTTTCAATTACAATGGCATATTTTACTAAAAGATTCCGACGAAAAAAAGTTGCTCAACGTTTTTCATTGCGCGGTAATCGTACGGGTTTTGTGGGTTGAGTAGTATTAGTATGGATCGCACGTTTTCTACGACGCATTCCATCTGATGTGCCAGCCTTGACTACCAAGCAAGTCTCTTTTATCTCTATTCATTTTACCTTACATTAGTTTTGAATTAGAATTTAATCAATATCGTCATTGAGTCGCTAAACGCCATGAACGAGCCGGCAAAGCGAACTTCGTGTAATGTGGAATATAGGTCGGTTCAATGATGTGTCTCGTTAAAAAGCGAGAATCAAAGCTGCGGTTCATGCGAAGCAGTGCGAGTCTAATCGTATAGTACTGCAACGCACTATAATCCCCAAAACTAAATTGTACGTTTGTATTATGCATACGTTATTAAGTGATTATCTTCGTATAAAATATTATAACCAAGTAAGTTCGTATCTTATGTGTCCATCCAATGAACCCCGGCACTTGAATCTCTCTTTATTCACGTATACGAAATGGAAATTGCATGCTTATGATAATTATGAAAATTTATGAGAGCAACTGAGAGTTCGCATTAATTTTAAACAAACGGAATTTTCTGTATATTTACGGGGAAAAAATAGAAACAAAGACCACTTGCAAAAACGCCTGCCACAGGTGGCCACATATGATAATATTTTTTGCATGCGACGTCAACGCACCTATATACTGCAGTACCTTCCGAGTTTGTACAGTAGTAACTATCATTTAAAAATACTAATTTAAACAGTAGATCGGAACAGTAAATAAATACCGTCCCCAGGGTTTGATGATTTAAACGTATCCTACTACCTCCGATTAAACCGTCTATTCGAGAGAGCTCGTTTAATTTACCCCGAAGCGTAAACGTGGCAAGAGACATTTTCGCTGGTGGAAAATTGTTGTCGCTAAACTAAATTGGTCCTCGGAGAGTTGGCGTTTATAGTAATTTGTTATACGCTAGGCATTGAAAGCACGATGGTCAATGCCATTAATGGTCTACTTTCGTAGGACGAGCTCCTCAGACAAATGCCGATAATTTGTTTATACAAAACGAGCTATCAGAGGAGGTTATCATTATTCAGATTCGTTATCGTTCATGTCGTTGCTGTAACACTCCTGAAGATAAATTAAACTGAGTTGAGAAGAACGGCAAGCACATGCAGCATCATGAACATATATCCCATAATATTCCACATTATATCCCACATGCGTTTGCAAAATGTCCGATATTTTCTTGGTGGCCGCTCAGAACTTGTTTAATGTATGTATATTAAGCTATATGATAAATGTAATTGTGTTTAAAAAAAATCATCAAAAACACGAATGTTCATGCATCATATATTTTTTCTCATCATATCAGGTGAAAAAAAGTATAATGACAAAACACGTCTATCTGCTTTGATTGAGCTGTCAGCCTGGTGTTTATCGTGGGTGAACACAATTTTAATTCTCGTTTAAACAACAAGTTTAATATAAATTTAATCATTGTAACGTAGACGGGTTGTTCTAATACATCAAACTTGAAGACCCACAAAACACGTATTGTTATGAATTAAGACCATAAAAACCATATTTTAGAAAACTTTTAGCTATTCAAATTCAACCGAACTAGGAATGGTGTCTGCAATTAAATCAATACTTGTCTTTATTGAAATCATAAACAGATTAATACTCTTTATTTATTAATTAAGATCAATATCCATAATCCTTTTTCATTTATATTGATTTAAGATTTGAAGCCAGTGTATTTAAAAACCGTACCAGCGCTGTATTCATGTTGCGTTTCATAGATATTCCCTCAGGGTCGGGGTAATTATCGTCCGAGTGCGTTTAGCCCCTTCAGTCTGCACACTGAGACAAATCGATGTAATGCGCTAATCTTACAGATGGAGCAGCTGTTTTTTCAGTAACGTAGACGGAGGTCATTTTTTTGATCTTATAGAACATATTAATAGTCGTCTTATTTAGAAAATATGAAATGCGTATTGTGAGTATGAAAGGGATTAAAATTGTTTATAACTATATTGCCTACACCTGTTATTACATTCATTTCGAAGGAATATGTAATAGCGGTAACCGATCAGTTATATGACAGTTCTGTAAGGTGTTTACAAAATGTTGACGATGGTACAATGTGGTGATTTGAACTTTAGGTAAAACTGAAAAAAAAGACACGTAAAAACAATCTGCTAATGGAACTATTAAGGTGAAGGTATTTTCCACTTACATAAAGTATTAACTCTTTACGACATTGCGGTATAAAAAGCGATAACTGTTGATAGCTCGTTTAGTTTATACACGGCGCCCCCATTGTTGTTGATTGTGGGATGATCGATGACCCTGTTCTGGGTTCAAAACCATGTAAATTTTTTGCCATCTTCTGTGTCAGTTTGTTTTAATCAAATGTTGAAACAAGATTTGCGTGATTTTGATAAAAACTAAACTTATCTACGCTTTGCCCAGCTCAAACTCACAATTGAATTAACAATAACCCCCTACCCAAAGGTCTACACTTCATCTCAAACAACTTACCCCAAACAGATCATTTCAACAACTGACGTGAATGAAATACACAACCACGTAGGGCGTTTCAGGGAAAACTATTTTACAAGATCCATGTTTGGTTGTATTAACGCCCTGATTGCCACTGATTTGCAGATACGTTATATTGAGTGGTATTTAAGGCTTGAAAAACGATTCACATTCATTAATAAATAACACTACACTGAGAAGGTCAACTAGGGTTAAATGGAAAACTCATTAAACACTCCTAATCGTGTGTGTGGGAATTGTTTACCAGCACGTGCCTCATGGTTTTAGCATTGTCCATTTCCATGCACATATACGATCTCTATGTTGAAGACAACTATGTTGCCCGATCCGAAAATTAAAATAGAACTCACAAACATTTCGATAGGTGGTGATAAATTACGTCATTGTATTTAAATCTATAGATCAGCTGATTACCAGCAATACAATTGATTACGACAGAGGAGTGTACCTCGTTAAGTTTCATGTTCGAGTGGGGAGAGAACAATTAAGGCTTATTGATCGAGTCCATCTGTCATGACGTCACACTTGATTTATCGCGGAGCTACATATAAAAATAGCATTTTAATACCAAATATGGATTGTTAGGTTCATTTCATCTTCTCTCATATTGTCCTAGGTAGGTCTTTCGTGACATATCGTCTGCAGACTTTTTATGGATTCTCTATTTGAAATAAACAAAATAGACACCATTATCGATTTGAATCTACTTGTTTATTTCCTAATTGAACGCACGGATTTGATGAAGCATTTATGTTAATCTCATATATTTCTATCTTGAGATCCGTTCGTCGCTGAAAGGGTTTTCAGAATTGCCCGTGTTATATCATCAATATAATTGATAGACGTGTCTACTGTCCATCATATGTCCATCAACATTGTGCAGTCTTACTATCAAGTTACATGACACTTACTACGCAGCATAGTGACACTCACGCAATGTTTCTGGCACAGTGGATTCAGTACAACAGAATCTTACATTAGCTTAATTGAGGAAAAGTCAATATTTTGTATACAGTATAACCATCTGACATTTTGAGTATTTTCCATGCTAATTGTTTTTGTAGTTGCCTCGAACTGATTTTAGTGACAATTTAACCCAAGCTAAACGTATATAATCTGGTATCAGATATTATCATAAATTACGTGTGTAATTATACCTACCATTAGTAGCATATACCTATGTTTTCCATAATTGTTGACATATAATTCATGGGTATATTTAAAGTAAAACCTAATAACCGATTGCCCAAATCAGGAGATTTCTTAATTGAAAGTTACACACAGGTGGCGGGAAGTACGTCCATGAGTAGCCCCGATTAATGTAGTAAAATAGATGTAAAACTTAAGAATTATTATTCCTAAAATAAAAGGATAAATGAATATATATTGACAATTTGCATATTAAAGGTCAAGTACAAAATTCAAAAAATAAAATTAAAATTAGTGTACTTCAACTCTGTTCCACATTTATCAAATATATAACAGGCCTGATGGTTAATTTAGTCATGATTATAAGTTCCCATTGCAACATGTGAAACTGTTCCATTTGTTTGCGGTTCCCTAGAAGAGAGCTCTATCGAGTCATTAAATTGATTTTTCTCAGTGTTTTTTATTCTATTTCAAACGACTTTCTCGGCAGTTTCGGTAATGAGGAGTTATTTTATCTGCCGGTATTCCGCTTAATTAATGTGCATGTCTCTTTTTGAAGTTTGTATGTACGCGTGTCTTTGCGTTGTTGACCTCAATACTTGACAGAAGTGAAGCTTTAGTACCGACAAATGTTGGTCGTAGAACAAGCGTGTGGTTTCAATTTGACAGTACAATATACGTCTGTTATTTAATATCCGTGATTCAATGTCTTCATTCCTTTATATTTCTAAGTTTGTTTATTTGTTAACACGCTGCGCTAGAATATACACTAAGGCATTGAAAACACAAATCATTTTTTTTTATTTATATATTTCAATTAAAAATACAAATTTAATTGAATATTTGGAAAATAGTTAAATTTTAATGAGTTGAATTAGCTCTGTGCATTACCGAAAAAACCCGAGTAGGCTAGTAATGGAAGAGTCATATCAGTTTATTGTCTTATAATTACTAATTAATGTAATCTACATTTCACAGGAACTTAATGAGCTCACATCGTGTATAGTTGCGTTGAGGGAATTGGGATACGAAGTTATGAAACCAGACATGCAGCAACAAGGTACGCATCGAAGATGCCAGACATGTGTATTTTTTATTGATTTGGGAATAAACAGAAATATTGCAAGCTGCATTTTGATCGCATGGCATTCATTATCGAAAAAATACCCATAATATACTGAAATCTTAAATGTTATACTATATTCTCCTAAATCTTGGCATTCGTCTGTTTTGATATTTAACAATAATGATGGAATGTTTATACCCGCCCTCTAGTGACGTAGTCATTCGATGACGTAAATCAGTGACGTAAAGCCTGTTCACAATGTCTATATTAATTTGATCTGTAGTCATCCGTCAATAAGGATTACTTTTTGAGATATTTTATTATATTTTAGATGATAAACGACTACACAACCAAACCAGTTTGATTTGAACGACACTGATTTCAAAAATATACGTCATTTTGACGTCACAGAAGCGATGTGTCCTTAGAGGGCGCGTTTTTTTTTTTTTTTTTTAGGAATGGCGACTAATAGAGTTTATTTTCATGTTTATTACAGGATGCTATATCAGCGCAGACTACGCCCTCTATTGTGAATCGTAGGATGCCAGGATGGTAGAACAGGAAATGACATCACAATGCAAAATACAAATGGAAACGGACTGTATTTTTGAAGCACACTGTACAATGTAATTTTATCGGCATAAATCGCACAAATACGGATGATTATATCTGTGTTTTTTTGTTGTTATATAAACGAATAATTTGAAAAAAAAAAACTACTTATCAAAGGTGGTTATTAAACTGATGAACGGAGGTTGAACAGGTGTTATAGATTGGTTCTAAAGTTTGGGATTTGTAAGATCATTAATATTTAATACGTAAAACATAAAACATGTGCAGCCATGTTGTGCATGGAATTGAAAATACTTCGTTCACAGTAGACGAATCCCAACATTTAAAACCAGAAAAAATGAGGCATGTTAACAGTCAGACAATTTTTGGCAGTTACCTAACAAAGAAAAATATCAGTTCTCGATAGCAACTGAAACGATATAGATTTGAAAACATTGTCTGTCTGTTGTTGTTGTTGTTTTTTTTTTTTGTGCATATCATCTCAAACATTGAAACATATTTCAACAAGTTGTAAATAACTCCCAAATACTCTGCTGCCGTTAGATGGCGCTATTGTCTTTGTCAATAACTAGCAATTGGAGGTTATGCAGATAAACAACATGTTTTATATTTAGTTTATGAGGGAATACCTTTGTCCTAGTAGTAACGGGCTCTGACAGCCAAGCACTGACATGTCAAACTTGGGATATAGTATCCTGATTTGTTTGTTTGCTCAGTGGTTACTCAGCTTGGATCTACTTGGGATAAAAACTTATTCTGACATGACATGTTCAATCAGTAATAGTATGATATCTTAATGAACTTGTCACATTGATTTTTCAAATAACTTTGATATATTACGACATGTTACACAATCTGCGATCCGCAGTTCAGGGCATGTACACGGAATCCTTTATCCCATACTCACTATTATTGTATTTAGAAATGATAATGTGGTTGCCCCCAAATTTGTGTATTTTTCCTTTTGATTTGTTGTTATTCTAATTATAAATATGTTTAAATTTGAGAATTTCTGAACCATTAAAGAGGATTCTATGCATACGAATATGAATAGCCCATTTCTTTTTGCAGTGACATTGTTTTATACGTTTTGTTTACTAGGGTTTTATGGCTTTCTTCAAACAATGTGTAGGCAACTGATAACACACATATATATGTATATAAGCCCTCCACTTTTTATTCGTTCCATTGGTTGTAATTAACTATATATTGTGTTGCTCGCTTTTGAATGCTTCCGGGAGTAAACATAACCGTCTCAATTATTCAGCCGAGTACAGATTCGTTATTTATACACACTGCTGTCACATACGTGAGATGTTTATCTGTTTTGTGCGTCACAACCGAGCGAAGATTATTACAATACCCGACAACGTGTGAACTGTGGCGATTGTCGGGGAACAATTAATGGTAATTAGTGCCGGTGTTCATAATCTTTAGGCGGGGTTCAGGGCAATGTTCACGTAAATGGTTAAAAAAGGCATCTTACAGAAGAGAGTATGAAAATGAAAAATGAAAAGTACTAAGCCATTTCACAGAAAATATACATATATTAGAACAACGGGATAGCCACAGTGGATATATTTGCAACAACTCACACAATATATTCTCATACTGTTCTATGTAGTATTCTGTATAATTGAAAGTTTAGTACTATTTTCATGAGTGTGATTACTTACCAACTTGCTTAAGACTTTTAGAAAGTCTTTTATATTAGTTGTGTAATATCGTCAGAGGTGAACGTTTGTTGCATTTCTGCAAGGACATAAGTTGTTTTCACATTCCGGCACAATTAACCCATGGGTATATCTACATACATATATTTCATTCCATCGGAAGAGAATCTTTTTTTTTTATTTAATTTGCGCAATTCAATGAGTCCGCTCATTTAATTATTATCACTGTATAAGACTGTCCGATACAATATTGAAGTTCGTCTGGAAACGCAATCGTTTACTGAACTTTATA